GCTCTGATTGGTCAAAAACCCTTGTTTTATCAGAGTATAAAACATAGAAAAAGCGTGTTTTATTGTTTTTCGCCACATTACCTCTATATCATAAAGAAAATGAAGAAGCCTAAGCCACACACTACACTGTGATAAAACACTCTGGACATTATATTGAGAACACTCAAGAAATGTAGAAAACACTTGACTGAGGCTTGTGTTTTCTACATTTCCCTCATGTTCTCAAATGCCTGTGTGCTTTATCACAGTGTAATACATGGCTTAGGCTTCCTTATTTGTTAAATAAAACATTATTATAAGATGTTATACGAATTGAAAGTCCTATGCATATACATGCCGATAAAATTACCCTATGGAACTACCGGTATTCATAACTATTATTTACAACTTAGTAGTGAGACTCAATGAGGTGCCAAGACCCTTTGCTTTAAAATATTGATGCCAAGGCTTTCAGTTAACAATTTTGGAAAATCTTGGACTAGAATGTAATATACTTGTTTTATTTTGCACAGCTTGCACCAGCAGAAAAGATGGCAGCATTTTGTTTAACTGAACCATCCAGTGGATCTGATGCGGGGGTATGAATACAAATGTGAAATGTTGTCTATTTCATTTATAAAGAATTCAAGGAATTTTCCCGTCACAATCCTGAGAAAAACCTCTTGGGGAGTTTGACATCCAACACCACCCCTACCCCATGTGTCTGAAAGACCAAGGGCTACATGTACACTTGTACCTTGAATTAATAAGTGTTAATTTTATTTTGTAGTCCATACGCACCCGAGCTGAGCTAAGCAGTGATGGGAAACATTATATTTTAAATGGAGGCAAGCTATGGTGTGTAAATTGTGTTGTATGGTACTTAAAGTATAAAGCAGCTTACTAGTTGACTAACCTTCTACAAGATTTTTAATGTTTGCAATGGGATACTTGATGAATGCTTTCATATAAATGCGCAGTCAAGCGGCTGAAGCAACCTTCAATGCCAGTCTTTTTTAATAATGAAATAATACATACATGTCTATTATTATTATTATTACTATTACTATTACTATTACTATTACTATTACTNTATTATTATTATTATTATTATTATTATTATTATGCTTTTCTAAAATCAACAGTTTCTATTGCATGTACATGAACCCACAGTGCGTGACTTTTAGGAGTGATAATATAATAATTACCTGACTTGTATGAGCAGTGTATGTACTAATTGTATATGCGTAAAGCGCACTTACTTTAGCTAACTAGGGAAAATGTAAATTCTACAATTGGTGTACAATTACTATTTTCAAGTTCATAGACAATAGCAATTGTACGCTTGTTGTAGAATTATAGTCACATACAACCAAAGCTACATGGACTAATTAACTAAAGTGCAAGTTTTACAATAATTAATCTATTAATATAAAATACATCATACTGAGAGTTTTTTTAGACTGTGTGTAATAATTGTACATGTAGGTACGTAAAGTGCACCTACTTGTAGCTAACTGGGGAAAATGTTTATTTTCACAATTAGTTTACAAAATTTTACTGTTTTCATGTTTAAGGGAAATAGCATTATATATTCAAGTATTATAACATTGTAGAATCACACAGTCATATATTTAACCAATGCTATGTATAATGTCCAACAGCAACTGTACTTATCAGAAGTGTATTTTCACAACTAGTCACAATTACCAAATTTAATTTTGATTTTAAATAGTAACTGTGAACATATTGTAGAATTATAATTATTATTAATTTAACAGATGTATCCATTTGGAAAGTGTAATCTTGGATATTGTGAACCTAATTATCACATGAAATTGGCCGCCAAGTAATTAAATAGTAAGCTAACGTAATGGAATGGTAATTTTACAGTTTCTGTCCAATTATTATTACTGTAAATCCTAAAAATAGCTCTTGGGGCACTTATTTGAGGGAGGGGCTTAACCGAAGGAGGAGTGGCTTATTTAGTTTTTCCCAAATTGTGGTAAGGATCCTCTTTCAATGTAATATAACCCCTTTAGTGGGTCTATACCTGCTGCACAAGGTTGGTTGGGCTTTAGGCAATGAATCAGCACATCTTCACTGCCATCCCTTTTGACGGTCAATTTGCAGTGCTTGATCGAGTCAATAATCACTTGCTTGTGATTGAACACAACCAAAACTATACAAATGTACATCCTTTAGTGTCTCAATACTCTTCCATAAGACAGGGAGAAGGGAGGAGGTCGCTTCTTGGGGAGAGGCACTTTTTTTTTACATTTTGGTTGATAGGAATTGTGCACACACAATTCTTACATGTATTTTGGGGGAGGCGCTAATTTGAGGGTTTACAGTTTATTCAAAATTTATTTGTTAACTAGGAGTAATTGTAGATTAGGGGGTGCGTTTGATACGTTGTGTGGCCGCAGTCCACTGGGGAATGTTGCAGTCTCTTGTTGCCCACTAATTTGCCATTTATTGTAATTTCTTGCATGTTGTACTGATAGTACAATGTATGTCGTCCTCTCTTTTATAGGATCAGTAATGGGGGAGTAGCAGACATTTTTACAGTCTTTGCCAAGGTATAAAATATTCAGCTGCATATGCTGTAGAGAATTTTCTTAAGATCTGAAACAAATTGAACCTTTTCTCTATCTCTTTCTTGCTTGTACTCTTCGAATCCATTGATATGCCAATTTTAGACTGTGGTTTTGTGCATACCTATTCATGTATATGTAACACAAGGCTTAACCTTGCAAAATATTAAATTTACAGTGTACTTCTGTCACATGTTAGGCTAGTATGTACATCTACAGAGTCTAATCGTAATTCTTGAAAAGGTTTTGAAATTTGCAAACTAGTTTTCTAGATTTAGAAAGACCATGAAAAGTGCATTTTCTGGCAAAGTCTGGGGGACAAAATGGAAATTTTTTCCCTTAAGTCCGTAAATGCTATTGTACAGTTGAATTTCAGTAAATTTTGTTTTAGCCAATGTTTAGTGAAATACCAGAATCTCATGAACTGGCACAGAGACCAAAATAATATAAATAAATCAGTGAATCTGTTGCACAGTTTCTCAAATCAGCCAGCTGGTACACGTAGTTGGCCTGTCAGTTGGTCAATCAGTCGATCAATCAACAGACCAATCAATCAATAAATGGACCAATTGTGCACTGAGTCAGTCAGT